GATGATGATTGGCTGCTGCCCTTGGTTTGATTATCATGATTGCTCCAGTCACCCGCGGCTGGCTTCAGATTGTCTGACCAGACTGACATGGATAACCACCCAGCTCTCTCTCTCACTCTCTTTTGCTTGAGTCAGCTTTCCCAAGTTGATCTTTTCGGCTCTTTGAGCTCTGCAACTCCGACGTGAATCGATGAGGTTGTCTCGAACATCACTTCTTTGAACTGAGATTACTGAGACTCCAATGGTCCTGAATAGTGTGACATTGGGCTCGTTGCTTCTGGAGCTTCGAGATCCTGCGCTTACGATCTTCACGAGATGGATTCGTGATGAGTTTAGGCGATGCGGACAGCTGAGAACGACTGGCCGACATTTGCGACTCATCTCCTAATTTATTGCCACTGGCGCTTATATACATATCATGGGAATAGCTGCTACGCCGCAATCTCCATCTCCTCGCTTCGAGGCCCGCGTGGTCCGCTGGACAGCTGGACATCCGACTTGAGGCCCGTCTATAGCCGCCGGTCGGGGATCTGGCCGGATGGCATTCCCATACCGGAGGTCCGTCCGTTCGTATCCACTTCACGGAGCCGCAGCCTTCACACTAGAGGTAACGGGGCCGACCAGTTCCTCTTCTTCAGAAAAAGCCACAAGCTAGCGGGGCCCCGCCGTCCCAAGAAAAGCTTGTATCAAGATGCTTCCTCTTTCCACCCAAAAGTTCAGCTGCCAGTGTAGTCCGCAAAGTCTAGAATACGAAACAGACAAGACTCGGACATATTGATTCATAAGAACCTCAATATTGTATTCCTAGTCTCTAACTTGAGTATTAAGGGCACGATATGAGCCATTAGTATTGTTTTGCTTTAGCTTCAAGTCGGTGGAAGATCACACGTCTCGTTGAATTTGGAAGTGGAACCGACACTGGTGCAGACACTCCCCATCTGCACTCAGCGCAGCGATGGATCTCCTTCGAAAGTACTTACAGTGTGCTGTAACATCCTTTCTAACTGTGCCCTCGGCAAAATTTCTCAGTTGGAACTGGTGGAGTATTAACCGCAGCCTGAGCAACCAATCAGACAGTTGAACTAAGAATCTTGAAACAAGAAGGCAAGGATGACCGTTTAGCTGATCGTGGAGTTCTCCTCGCTGTGGGAAGCTGGCTCGTTAGACTCGTGTTGGGGAAGACACTGAAGCATTTTTCACTCGTCGAGAACGGAAAACCATTCCACCAGTTTACCAAAAATCCACCAGAATCGACCTCGGTCGCCTCTTTCAACAACGACAATGATCGACGAGCTGTGCAAGCTGATCTGCCTTCTCCAGCTCCTTTCAAATGTCAAAATGAATCCAGTCGACCGGTCACTCCGATGATCATCACGGGGATAACCTAAAAAAACATCTTCCATCACAAAGCCCGATTACTGATGTTGTCACAGGAGGAAATCGCCGATTCTCTTTGTGATAGCATCGATCCTGTATAGATAGGTAATGCCCATCCTCTTACCTTGCAAGGCCTTGTTGACGCTGGGCTCGATACGTGTAAACATTCCAAGCCAGCGGACGTGCATGAGACATCTCAGATGCAACTAATCACTCGAGTTACTCCCTCACGTTAACAATGGCATATTCCGCCTCGAGTAGCTACAGGGCTACACGGCGGCTTGTAAGATGGAATGCGACAGTCGGAAAGCCCGCTCGTTTGACCCGAGGGATGCCAGGTTTCGGCGGTCCCGTGTGGATCCGATCTCGGCGCCCCTCCGGCAGAATTCGTTCTTATAGCGGTCCGGGCCGGTCTGGTTCTGCGCGCAGCGTTCTCCGTGACATTCGAATCCACGCAGACGGAGCCACTCTGGCAGTTCCATACAGGTGCCGGAGACACGCTGAGAACTTCCATCACCATACTTCGCGACAATCAAACCAGGTCCCGTCCTCAGATCCGGGCTCTAGTGCCTGCCGGTTCCAAGTTGTGAACCTGGGCGATCGCCCCCAGGACATGGAACCAAAACACCGGTTTCGCCAGCACTTTAAAACCACTATGTAGAGACTTCGTCTGTGGGATCCAATTCTCGCCCTGGCAGTCACCAATTTTCAGACTTTGAACTCCACGAGTCCTCAGGCTCGCAGATGGCTGATCTCCGCAACCAAGACCAATGCTCCTGGCTCCTTGCTCCTGATCCTTCACAGACCAGACGGATCGCCACATCTGAGAAGAACTACGGAAGCAGGATATCGGCCATGCTTTCGGCTATCGACGTTTACGAGACAACTTGCACGTCTGAAAAGTGCATTTAGCACCGCCCCCTTCAAGTTACAGTACCCGGTATTTGCCAGTTGCTGCTCGCTTCGAGCGGATCTTGTAAACAATCCCTTCTCTTTGCCCCATCCTGGGTCCAATGCCTGCCCAAATCCACATAGGATCGGAATCATCCCCCATACACACGCGAGGTTTCGTGCCGTTGTCACCAGGGTTTGTTCAGCCTCAACTTCATGCATGCCCCTTGCTTGGCCCTGTGACTCTGGGGAATCCGAGAAAGCAGACGAGATCAAGCTAGGCCGACTCAAGTCGCGCTTTCATTGGGACCTTTGTGGTATTTTGGTTCCCATTGGGAGAAGCTAGGCCCTTTCCTTGAGACTTCTTTCCATCATGGGGACTGCTCCTTTACCTTAAGTTCCATCGCTACGGCAGTTGGCATGGGGATAAAACATGTTTGTTTCCTCTCCGGCCTCATGCTCGGGTAGACCCCCTCGCTTACCCCAAAACTCGCAACCCTAGCCCCATAGGCCAACCAAGGGGTAAATAACGTCTTCAAAGGCTTCTTCAATACTTGTTAGCACCAGAAAGCAATTGTCGAAACACAGCAAGACGTGCCTCTAAAACGGCCCCAAACTCTGTGCTACAAAATACGGGGGCACTGGGTGTTCGGCGGGTTGGGGGTCGTCGATATGAAGCACAGGGGTTAACTTAAAGGTAGGACTCAGGAGCCAAACAAGGGCGGACAAGGGGAACCATTAACTACCGGACAACAGTTTGACCAATACAACAGACCCTGATGACACGCCACACACACGAGGCATCACCGGGTTGGGTCACATAATACCTGGCACGTATTATATCGGACCCTCGATATTAATGAGGCATCAATGCGGACTGGAGGCGTCGCTTCCCAAAGCTCCCCACTTTGTCAAGGAGCAGGAGAAGAAAACAAAAACGACGTGGGTAATATGCGGGGTCCAGTTGAAGACGGGTTGGGCGTGTGGGCGGACGGGAGATTGCGCCGTGCCGCTGTTTTCTCGACTGGGCCTTTTGAAGAGCGGGTTGAGACGGGAGGCTCTTCAGACCTCGTTTGAACACATTCTGCTGACACCAGCTAACCTTTTGAAGGATTGCTGATTCAAGAAGCGAAGAGACTCGGTCATGGCGCCATCGAATTATCCACCAGAAGCTATCGACTGCATGTGTGGTGTATCGTAGAGCTATGATGACATTCAACCTCCAAGGATCTTCACTTTGCCCCTTTGCAAGTTGGAGGAGACAGCCCAATCAGAAACCTGAATTGGGCTCGCCCCATCAGGCCCTGAACCGCTATAGTCGTGCAGTAGTCTTCCGCTTTTTAGCTTCGCATGCGCACATGGCTAAAGAGGGGCCCGAAAGGGAGTACTTCTGGGAGCTTTTGGCATTGGGCCTTGTTTTTGAACTGTGCTCCTTGAAAGTCGAGACTGCTCATAGGCTCGTGAACTGCTCTCGCGATGACGGCTTTCATACAAACGACAATATAAATGGAAAACCCCTCACTTGACTTGGGGCATTGGGCTTTCGTTCCGTTCCCGCAGTTCTGGATCCCAATCGATCCCTTGCTTGACTCACGACGATCGATTTTTTGGGCGCCCAGTCGACGGGCCGTCTTTTCTGGAGGTGGGAGGGATTGCAGAATCATGCCGCCGCAACAACACTCCCTGACTTCCCACCATTGGGTCAAGTTGACTGCGCACGCCCTGCAGAACACTTTACATATATCTTCCGGTACACGACGCAGCAGTTCTGCATCGTCTTGCAGCTCCTTGGCCAATCCCATCATTGGATTGTTCCGGCTTATACCAACCCGAGTGGAGTGGAGGCTCGTCGATATTCAAAGTCTTAGTTTTCTCGGCCCCGGACATGTCTGGCATCAGTGGTATGAAGGTAACCGTCAGGTGTGTCTAGGAACACCCTACTGTATCCTCTTTCGGCTCTTCCAACCATCGGTCGCCTCTCGCTCGTGGCTTGACTGTTGTGTTGGTTGTGTTGGTTGGTATATGTGTTGAAGCCATCAATTTCCTATTTCTCTCCTCTGGTGTTGGCTGGCTGCTCCTCACCGGCCTTCTGGTTCTGTGCTCTCTCATCTAGGGTTGAGACCGCCCCCAAGTCAAGTCAAGTCAAGTCACATCACCCGTTCATCTCATTTCATTGGGGGGGTTTATCGTGCTGGCTGGGTATTGAGCGTCTTCTCTTAGCTTGTCATATCAAACCACTCTCCACTCTTTCCACACCCTCATCCTTGCCGCCATCATCTTGTTTACTCCTTTGCCCTTTTTGGCACCAAGTTCCGCTATCGATTGCAATTTTAATATCATCTCTATACCCACCCGGGACTTGCCGGCAGCGAGTGGACATCTTGATTGTGGTTCAGCTTAGGTTGAGGTTGAATGCTCAACGCCTAGGTAGGTTAGGGGATCACGCGTTGGTCTCCCGTGGACCAAGTCCCGTGTCATTGTTACTACCTACCTTGGTGTAGTGTGCTGATGTCAGGAGCTCACCAACCCAACAACAGAGTGAAATCAAACAAGGAGAGGCCCCAAGGAAGAGCCCAAGACGATCTATCTGATCGGGTCGTTATTAGGCGTGGACCAGTCAGGGGAGACAAGGGATTTCCGAATTGCGCAGTGGAGGAACAGGGACGTCGAGTATCCACAGGTCCGGGATTCGAGAGCAACGGCGTCGAACGGCGCGGGTCCAGTTTCGCACCATGACATCGTCCAGCTTGGGGGAACAGGCGGCCGGCCAGGGCCTTGCCCCTGGGGCTGCTTCCACATTTCACTTCGCAGTGGACTCGTTCAGCGCACAGCCCACAACGCTTCCCCATTCACAACCCACAGGTTCACCTGGACGCACACAATTGCGCATCGCCGAGAACAGAAAGAGGAGCACGGACAGCGCCGGAACTCGAACTCCTGGGGGAAAGAACCACCACTCCACCGTCATCACCTCCAACCTCAACACCAACCAGCTGCCCAGGCCTGGATCCAACCTTGACACTTACAACAACACCACGGCAACTGCTGCTCCCCGTAACAACATACAAGTAAAACTAGCAACCGGCAACGGCAGTGGCACTTTGAACTTTTCGCAGACTGCTGATGAGAGCAACGTCCATCACACACACCGTCAGCACCACAACTCCTCCAAACTTCCCGCTTTTCGCTTCGCCGACCTGAAAAGGAAAAAGGACGCATCACTTTTCCCTCCTTCGCTGCCGCTCCTGCAGCAACACATCCACATCCCACCTTCACCTAATAAGAAATCTAGACGGGGCTCAGTCTCGTCGCCAGCTGGAGACCCTGTGCAATTACCTCTTGACCTAAAGCTAGCCGCAACTGCCAGTCCACCACAATTTAACCAGCAGCAACAACAAAAGCAACCCCAACCGACTAGCCCATTTAATCATAATCTCGTCAACCGCCCCCAGCGTTCTGCTGAAGAACGATCGACCTCGACTACCGCTGCTGCAGCAACACCGCCAAGACAAGCCCACAAGCGATTACAAGACTCTCCTGCCATTCGAGCCTCGACGTTCCAGCCCTTTTCGCCAACAGCACAGAAGTCGTCTATTGGCTCAAAACGCCCAGCCTCTTCCGTCTGCGATAGCCAGAGTGCCGCCAGGGGCCCGTATGTGTCGAGATACCGGTCTGCATCCATCGTGACACCTTTTGGAAAACGTCGGCAAACAACCTCGATCGGACTTTTACCTTCCATCGATACTGCGCAGGACCCACGCCAACCGGTACCGCCCGCGACCCCCAAGTCGAGGAAGATTAATGAGAAGAGGAAATCCCGCCCGCCAGCCTCTTCCTCCAAACCCGCCATTGTTCTGAGTGCCTCCGGTCCCGGCTCCGGAGGGCAAACAAATACGTCGCAGACCCGGCTATTGCGCTCCTCGACATTTCGCGACAACTTGCTGCTCGACTACGACTACGATCCCGGGCGCACTGTGGGCGATACAAACGAGGGGGACATGTCGAACTCAACCCAGAGAGACCGCGCATTGAGGGCCCTGGAGGGTAGACGGGATGACGATATGTCGCGAATGACACCACCAGACTCAGCTACAGCAGCTTCCGACAATGAAAATACGGCCGAAATCTTTATGAATATTGCCCGCGAGGATCCAGCACCGCGGCCGGCGCAAACCCGGACTGAGGATCAGAGCGCAATTGTAAGTCGCTTTATCCGGGGTGGCGTTTGCTATTCGCCTGCGGAATTTGCGCGGTAGCTTATTGGCTAACTGGCGGACAGTCACGCATAAACCGAACCTCCTCCCACCGCCGACCACTGTCTACAGCGATACCCTCATACCAGACGTCATCACCGCCCCAGGTGTCTTCTCGCCGACTTTCCGATTCCCGCGAAACAACCGCGTCCAGAAGCCGGCTGCTTTCAGACCCACGAACAACGCGAGAACCGAATTTCCAAGGCATCACAAGTCGCCTGAATACCAACATACCGCAAGAGGATCTTGGTCGCTCCCAGTCTGTTCGAACGTCCCTCAGACAGAATCCACCAACGCCCCGGCAGATAGCGTTCCAGGATGCTTACGAGGCGGGCGCCGGACTTTCTCGAAGATCGTCAATGGCAGAGATCTCGTCCGTCGGGCGGAATCAGCAATATCGGATTTCGAACCTTGCTGTTGGCGGCCGGATCTACAACTCGTCCCCATTAGTTCCCCGGGCTCCTGAACCGCAAAGACTGGAACCACCTCAGAACGTGGAGACAAATCAAGGCAACGAAGGAACAGATTCATCAGCATCGACGGCGGACCCCTCTACTGTCTGGGATGAGCTGGACGACCTAAAGTCTCGCATTCATAGGTTGGAGTTGACGGGCAAGAAGCCACCGTCGGGGGCAGGAAATTCTAGGAGTTCAGAGGAGCGTCCGCCTACAGCGACGACCAATGCTACAACCATGTCCGCGTCGCCGAAGCGTGGATCGGGAGGAACTACGGTTAACCACGGAGAGACGGCTAGTAATGCGTCATCACGGGAAACACAACCCATTCTCCTATCAGCGCTGTCAAAGACCAAAGGGCTGATCAGTGCTGAAGTATTCAATGCCATTGAGTCGGCAGCAAACGACGCTTTGGCTTTGACTTCCATGATTGGTGCTGCCGGACAACCAGGGCCAATTTCAAGCGGTGCCAGTGTTGTTGGGGGCTATGGCAGTGGTGTCACGGACCGACAGCTCCGAAGGAAAGCGGATAGTATCTGCAGGAGCTTGACTGAGTTGTGCATTGCATTGACGGATGAAGCTAACCAGTCCAAGCCGGCTCAACCCGCAGCTCCCAGCCGCGAGACTGAAAAGGCCATAACACCGACAACAGCTACCAAGTTCACAGGCATCACGGGCCAGCGACGATCGAGTATCATTGCAGAGACAGCATTGCCGCAACCGAGCGCTACTAGTCCAAGGGCTCCGACGACAATGGAACAGCGAAGGATATCACTCTTGGCTGCGAGTGCTCTACCGAGTCCGAGGAATGCAGCTATGCCAGCTACCCCAGTTGACTTTGGTACACCTGGGCGAAAGTCGTCATTGCTATTGGCTAGGAACCGTCGGGTTGCGGTAGAGGAACCTGAGGAGCAAGTTGCCGGCAGAAGGTCGTCGCTGCTTTTGAGGAGCCGGAGAGTAGGACAAGAGGAACAAGAAGAGATGCAAGCGGAGGGTCGTAAGACGTCGCTGCTGCTCCGTTCCCGAAAAGTCTTTAACGAAGAGGACGAGGACCGGTACCGCACCCCGTCCAGGGCCATAACAGAGGTCAATGGACTGCGAGGTGCTCCACGGGAATTTACCGGCCAAACTTCGTCTCCTCCTGACAAATCTCCGCTTGGTTCTTCGGCTTTGCCCCGCAGGCGATTGATCCCTACCTCGATAAGTTCGAGGCTGGGTACTCCTACCGCTCCTGTAATACAGCCTTCAGCCAGTCGTCGATACCTTGACAGGGTAGCAGACGGACAACGGGAGACGGTTGTTGCTAGCAGCTATGCGGAAAGGCTTGCGGAAGAGAGGGCACAGCGCCAGCTGTCGCTGGGTCAGACGGCGATGCTCAATCGGACTGGTAGTATCAGCCGACGGACTCGTGACTCTGGGATACCCAGCATCTCCACGTCGAACTTGCAACAGCAGCAGCAACAGCAATATCAACAACAGCAGCAGCAACAAGCCAACGCGCAGCAGGTTGGCGGGTACAGATAAACAGGAAAAAGTTAACGAATTGAGGAATCGAGGAGGTAGGAGGAGAGGAGGTAATCGTGGCCGTGGCCGTGGGCGGTTGGTGGTGGGAGAGAGTAAAAAATCGCGGGAAAATCATGTCCCCTTATGACGTTTAGACCAACCATGCTGTTCATGAAAGTGTAACACCATCAACAACAACAACAACAACACAACAACACTATTTCGACATATACCATTTCTGGGCGTGGGGCGTTGTCTTTTATTATACCTTTTTCTTTTTTCTTTTTCTCCGTCTTTCGTGTCCGTGTAATCGACAAATACGAAGCGGAAACAGCCAGTCGGGAGGAATCCGCACACACATCCTACAGACTTTCTTCATTCGTTCAACATTTCTATCTTCAGGGGCTCGGAGGGCAGAGCTAGAGAAAGCCTTTCACTTTTTTTCTTTTACGAATACGGAACCTTGAGAAAGGCGGAAACATCACATCGCATCTTTTTGTAACGAATCTCTTTTGTCAATATCATCCGTGCCTCCTCTGCCTTTTCAAGGACAGGACGGTGAAAGGGGGAAGAGGAGGGGAGGGGACTGGACTGGACTGGAGAGTCAGCATACAAGCATACAGCATAGTAGCGCGTTTTTGCAACAATGAATGCATCTACATCTACAGTCCCTCATCAACAAACAGTTGTTACATTTAACATTTTGCACATGTATACACGGATGGATGGGACTGGGCGTTGCGAGCATTCAAACTCATTAACGGCGACTTGTCGAATACCATGGGCGGATGGGGATGCTTTGCTTCTCTTACCTAGGTGATGGTGACTCGGTAAGGGTATCTCTGGGGTGGTTACCTGGTGTTGGTCGGAAGAAGGGAGAAATGTGGTGGGATTGGTAGATATCTTTGGAATTTTGATCCATTATCATCATTTTTGTACTTCTCTCCCATCACCATCGTGCATCGGTGTAGACAGTATTAGCAGCGAAGAAAAACCGTATTACAAGTATTTTTGCAAAAAGAATAAAATTGGCCATCATAGTCACATCTCTGACTTTGGTAATCTAGCAACTCCCTAGCAAGTTGGTTCGGTAGTGACTCATGTCGGCGTGATTCAATTTGTAAGTTCTATCTTTGTCTGCTCAAATCACATTAGTTCAAGCCCGTCAAGTATCAACGAGACTCGAGTTGTATCGGGGGCAAATCGTAACGGTCCGTATGATTTCATGATGCGGGTCTCCTGCGCAAAAACTTGCGTATATTACGGTAACGAAATGTGTCGGCTGACTTTGGCTCTACAACAAATGGATGTATATACGCATAGGATCCTATATATTTTGTACCGACGTCCATCGTCCCATCCCATCCCATCCATCATCATCCGTCACCGTCAAACCAAGCTCTTCTCTTTCCATTCATTCCTTTGAGTCACAACCAAACACCACAGGGGAAGACCAATCTGAATGAGAAGGTGTGTGTGTGCTTTTTGGCTGCTGCCTGCCTATCCTTGACTCCAGTGAATCAAAAATTCAAAACTTGTTCACCCACCAGTTGACCCAGTTCGCTAACAATAAATTTTCCTTGCATCAGCATCAGCACCGTTGTGACAATTGGACGACTTCCATTCACACCAGCTTTGCAACTTTCGAGGGTCATCGCTGCCAGACAAGCACGCTCACTCATTCACAGGTAAAACTCTCACACTGAAAGATTCTCCGTATTGAAGTTGCCAATCCACTCACTAACCCGCTCACAGCACAACAATCGCAAATACCGCCAAACCCTATCACTACCACCACCATTACCACAAAATGTCTGAAGACCAATCCATTCACCACGCCGATCTCGCCGACCGCGCCGCTGCTGACTCCAGCTCCCGCGGCGGCGGTCGCGGTCCCAAATCCGGCCGTGGCGGCGGCGGACGTGGCGGTCATGGCGGTCATGGTGGTCATCGCAAGGGTGGTGGTGGTCGCGACGTCGACCTCTCCCGCGCCCTTTCCAAGCTGCTCCGCCACCAAGCCTCCTCAGCAGGCATCACGCTCGACGCGGAAGGATATGCTCCCCTGGACAAGGTTCTTGCGTGGGGTCCGATCAAGTCACTGAAGCCTACGTTTGAAGAGATCCTGAAGGCTGTTAGGGAGAGCGATAAACAGCGGTTTGCTATCAGGTTGGCGCCTGGAAAGGAGAATGAGACGAGTAAGGAGGCGAGCGATTGGTTGATTAGAGCTAATCAGGGGCATTCGATCAAGTTGGAGAGTGAGGGGCTCTTGAAGCGGCTGGTACTACCCGGGCAGGAGGGACAGCCACAACAGGAGAGCGAGGGAGGAACCGTGCCAGTTCCCGAGACGGTAGTCCACGGTACTTACTTCGCTTTCTGGGACAAGATCATCGAGAGCGGCGGGCTGAAAGCCATGGGTCGGAACCACGTGCATCTCTCCACGGGACTTCCCGAAGACACAGAAACTGGTGTCATCAGCGGGATGAGGAGAGATGCGGAGGTCTTGGTTTTTGTGGATGTTGAGAGGAGTATCAGGGAGGCAGAGGAAACCGGGATCAAGTGGTGGATGAGCGACAATGGGGTGGTGTTGACGGAAGGCGATAAGGACGGGTTGGTCCCGCTTAAGTATTTCAAGGAGGTTAGGGGCAGGAGACAGGGCGTGGGGTTGTTGTGGAAGGATGGAGAGAAGGTGGCGGGTTTACCGGAGGGGTTAGAGATTAGGATGCCGATGGGTAAGGGGAGGGCTGGTGGTGGTGGTGGTGGTGGAAAGGGGGGAAGAGGTGGAGGACGTGGTGGGCATGGTGAACATGGACATGGACGTGGTGGAAGGGGAGGTCACGGGAAGGGAGGGAGAGGGAGAGAGGAAAAGGAAAAAGGTGAGGAGGTGAAGCCTCAGGAGGTGGACTCGCAGTAGATGGATGGATGAGCCGCCAGATTACCTCTATCGATTATGCGGTAGAGTCAAGAGTAAAGAGCAACAAAATATCAAATCAAGACACCAGATCTGGCTTTTCTTGAAGTTGCAGTAAGTTTCAAAAGCAATGTAGCCACCTAATGCCGCAAAATGATCCAAACATGGCCATATTCCCCTTCCCAACCAATGGCTCCAGTAAGGACTATGCGTACAAGACACTTTTGTTGTTGTTGATAATAGTACATGAAGAGACACAAGAAAACATGGGTTACAAAAGGAAATCAAGCCCGTGTTCATTAACCGCCACCATTCCATCACCCTATTCCACTAACCATGCCCAAAGAAAGAGAAAAAACAGAAAAATAGAACGATATATGCGAACACATTTTTTTTTTTCCTTCCACGCTCACCCATACCGTACCGGTCCATCAACTCAAAAAAAAAAAAAACCATTCATTACCACCGCTTTTTTTGCCTTTTGAACACCTCCCCAACCGAAAACAAAGACTACTGCCTCCCTCTAGTAAGGGTATAATATATGTGGTTGGTAAATGTTCCATGTAGTGATTGATAAATAGGTACCTTGTGTTTGGTAGATGTAGATGATACGCACAGTAAGTGGATAGAAATAAGAGCAAAGATTGTACAGAGAGAGAGACCATTAAATATGTATACCTGGAAGAGAAACAGGAAAGACGGGGAGAAAAATATGTATGCGTTTTTAGATGTGTACTTGAAAAGATGACATAAAACTTGTGGAAGTCTTGTAGATGCATTGGAACAACAGCGAAAACATGGAATGTTCCAGGTTCTCATCGGAATTGCTCAGCTTTGAAGGTGAGGGCTTGTTGGTGTTGGTGTTC